TTACTCTGTTTACCGAGAAAATCGGATTTGGTCTTTGTAATGTCCCTTGCTGCAATATTCTCACAGTCACCAAAGCAAGGCGTGATCTTGAACAGTCATTCTCATTTTTAAGTGTCGGACACAAAAGGCCTTGAAGATATCCGCCAGTAACACTTCTTTCAACGCCCTCAAAAATTATGAAATCTCTGATGTATGGGAGCCCACGTGACTATTTCTCATCTGCAAACTGATTTTCACCCCAAGTGTGCAGGCACAGGAAGCACCACTTTCTCTTGCTGACCAACGTAATAATAATCATAGTAACAGTCATATTAATTCAGTTTCACTAAATACAGCATACATGAGGTATGCCAACCTACATTCAAGATCAAACTTACAAATGTTATGTAATTTATTAAGTCAAAATCGTTCGGCCATTTTCTTCGGGATCATAACAAAAGTTTTTCTGTAGAGAAAACACAACAAAATGTTGGCACATAAATGCAGGACTGTTGAATTCGGGCTGAATGTGTCTTATCAACAAGCTCAAGCTGATAGATTTTGACTCACGGTTGATATAGAATTTAGCGTCATTTCTAAACAACCGATTTCATAGTGTTGAAGCAGATCACATTTTTTCAAGCTAGATTAAGGTCAACCAAGGTTCGGCACAGGTATCTATCTTCTTACCAGTTCATATATATGATCTTCTCAAGTAAGTATCGCCCGGGTAGTTGTTCATCACTGACGGTGTTGAACTTTACATAGAGGTTTGCAGCCAGAATGACAACCCGAAACTTCAAAACGATCTGATCAAACTTTAGAGCCGAACTTACTTTCAAAACTTCAAAGTCTACAGGAGTCCTTCCGAGAAATGTTACAATCTACACGTGCAACTCAAACAGATTTCTATTACAGGCTTCCGAGGTTGGAAAATATCAATGATATTTGTCATCATATGATCTAAATACTTACTCTGACTGTGACAAACTTTATACCGATAGCTATGAAACGGATTTTAGCCGGTTTGATCGCACGAAGATGTACTTTATTATTTTATATTCAGCCTTAATAGCAGCAAATAAACATGCTGTTCCCACATTCACGTAGAAAGAATAAAAATACCCTAAAGCGTATCCTAAGGCAGGCGACATTCATTTCGGAACTCAAATTTAAACTTTAGGAAAGACATCACAAATCAATAAACCTATACGATTTAGAGTATTAACGCATAAGTGACGATCTTCTGAAGGCTTACGTCATCTCAAACACTTCTAACCATCCTCTCAAGAAGCTACTAAAAATTAATACCAACGGGAACGTTGAGAGTAATGCCGAAAATTAAGTTAATGACGGCGGACCAGACTGTATGTACACCCGCTCAATACAAATGATTATGTCCTGGGATTTACCAACACCTGAGGTGGTCCTCGTTACTTCCCAGCAGCACTTCGAGAGGAAATGTCATGTGATCTTAAGGACTCATTTAACAAACAAATTCCAGTAATTGGTCTGAACGCAGAGCTAACGAACCGAAATTTGATTGATTAGGTCCAACTTATGTTTTTCTGTAAAGCGTACAAAGTTTTTTCAGGTGACTGATTAGATTATAGCGAAACGCAAACTCTGCGCCGACTTTAACGGGTTCTAATTGGAGAGAGAAAAAAGTACAAAGTACATCAAACAGTACACCTTATTTCATAAAGTTAAAGGTTTTTCTAGTACAAAATAGCGTGATAATCACCAAAAGGAATGGTTAATAGATAAGTGTTCGATACCGGAGAATCGGTAACAGTATCTCTTACAACATGTGATGAAACATCTATCCACACGAACCTCAGTATCCGTTTCCAGTAGGCAGTCAACGATTGTTAATATTGAATTGTTATATGAGCGTGTTTGTTAAGTGCTCACTTAATTCCTTGACTGTCTGTAACTTATTTTTGTCACACTGTAAATATCGAGTTGGCTCACCTGCCTTCTCTGCTTCGTTTTTCTTTCTTGCCTCTCATTCTGAATGTCGGTCCGGCTCAACGAATGTACGAAATATACGTATTCCAAAATAATTCTCGTATTTTACACAGTTTATTACATTATTCTTAAAAGTGAATTTAGTCATCAATTATTCAGGGGAAGGGTTGTTGGGATTCATATTTTTATAACGTTATCATATGACTTAATTGAAGTCAAATGAAATGGACACAAAGACCCCAATCGGACATCACCATTACGTTAATCAAGGCAACGCTCAGAAAATCGCACACCAACGAATAAAACCCTAGGTGCGCTACCACGTTTCTGCACTTATAGTCACTTTTATTCAGCATCTCTTCTCACTCAAAGTGACCACAGTTTCCTCAATGGACAGATTTGAGATGAGACCTGAGAAACACACACTGACACATTGACTGACACATAGACCACTGATTGAAATCATGAGTCATTTGAAGCTAGACCGCCATTGAAAATCTGGAGGCACTGGTCAGCCGTTTCGTCCTAGTATGGAACTCTTCAGCAGTGCGCATCCACGATCCCGCGAGATTCGAACCCAGGACCTGTCAGTTTCGCTTACTTACTTACTTATGCCTGTTACTCCTCGTGAAGGAGCATAGGCCGCCAACCAGCACTCGCCATCCAACCCTGTCCTGGGCAATCATTTCCAGCTCTTTCTAGTTGTTATTCATCCTTTTCATATCTGTTCTTTGGCCTTCCTCTTTTCAGCTTCCCTTCAGGATTCCAAGTTACGACTTGACTCGTGATGCAGTTTGATAATTTCCTCAATGCGTGTCCTATCCATTTCCATCGTCTTTTCTTAATTTCCTCTTCAGCTGGAAGCTGGTTTGTTCTCTCCCACAGAAGGCTGTTGCTGATGGTATCCGGCCAATGGATGTTGAGTATCAGTCTCGCGCCAGGAGCTTAACCAACTAGACCACTGAGCCGGCATCCAGTGGTGTGAATGTCTAACTTCAACCAATCCGCAAAGCTGCGCCTTGGTGGTCTAGCTTCAATCGACTCAAGATTTCAATCTGTGAAATTTCTAAAATCTCCACCAACCTCTTCTGATATAGACCACTGATGCGGATAATTTATGTCGTATGATTGGATGACTATTCGAGTTAGACGGCAATGGTGCGACGAACCAGTCGACTTCGAAGTCACACCTTGCGAGCAGCATTTGACGTGGATTGCTCGTTATGTCGTGTCAAGGTACCACGATTGCTTTGAAGACTGTAAAATACAAAGGACGTTATTGCTGAGATATATTAGCAAGAGTACGATCACAACCACATGGGCCAGTCCTCGGCGTGCGATTAACTGATGCGTGTCGGTTGTCATTGACCTGAAGGATGAACAGCGAACTGTTCGATATACAGTGAGTCGACATCCGGATGATTTGGCTAGGTCCACTGACACTCGACAGGCCTTACAAACATTTTGACTAGTTTTGCCTGATGCATGTATCATAATTTATGCACTTTTAGCACCAGTACATGTTACAGAATTATTGCTATCTTGCTTATTATCATCTTTGTCCCACTTTTTATTGTCGCACGTTGATATTCTGACATTGTCTGCGTTATTGGCTAACTAACTTATCTAATTAATCAGTCCTTGAAATAACCAGCTCCTCTTAGCATTCGAATTTTCTCCATATTACCGTTTACATTGCAACCAAACGACCTCCTGCCTGATGTTGTGATAGATGTCGGTATCCGAAAGCCTATTGTCCTGACAGACAGATAAAGGTCTGTCTGTCGACGTGATATTCATAAATTTTAGCAAAGCATTCGACAAGGTTTCACACTTAGTTCTAATGCAGAATCTCACGAGCTTCAGAATAATAGGTACTGAACAGGAGTGGACAGGAAACTTCTTATGTGACCTCAGACAGAGAGTGAAAGTCAACGGAACGCTATCCGATTGGAAGCCGGTCAAAAGTGGTGTACCCCAAGGCACCATCTTAGGCCCTCTGCTCTTTCTTTTCTACGTTAGTGACTTACCGCTGTTGCTTAGGTTGTCGTTATTAATGTTTGCGCATGACGTAGAAATCTGGAGAAGAATGAAAAGTCAGGCTGATCATCTGGATCTCCAAGCAGACTTAGACAAGTTAGTTAGATGGGCTCGAGGTTGGGACTTAGAAATCAATTCTAGGAAAAGTGTGCTGATGCACATCAGCATGACTTATAAACAACTACGCCTTGCAACGCAGCCGCTGTCAAAGGTTTTCGTGCGTTATGGTCACTTCGCCGAGCGTTCAAATCTTTTGGCGAGGATATGTTTCGAATTTTATATCCCACATATGTAAGACCACATTTAGACTTCTGTTTCCAAGCAGCTAGCCCATGTCTGGTAAAGGATACTGACTCACTTGAGCGTGTCCAGTGTGTAGGAGCAAAATTAGTGAAGGGTCTCTCTGAACTCCCTCACGACGAGCGTTTGAAACGCCTAAACCTTTTCCCCTTGTCGTATCGTTGGACGCGAGGTCACCTTGTACTAGTATTTCGTACCTTTAATTATGATTTGGGTGTTAATATGTCTTATCTTTTTGCTCCCTCCAGCACTATTAATCTCCGAGGTCATAGCAAGAAATTTCATAAACCGCGATCTAATAAACTTAAACTGAGGTCCCGTTTTTCTCATCGAGTAGTCAATGATGGGAACGCCTTACCCGAACAAGTGGCATCAGCCTCATCAGTGAAGATTTTCAAGGAGAAGCTGAACCTTCACTGGAAAGCAAGCTGCCAGGGTTACCACAGATTCACCAACCTACTATCCTTATTACTGAAGAGTGAAACAAACTACTCACTTAGATCATAAGATATACAAACCTTCAAATAATTGTCAAACTCATTGGATTAGTGCAGTCGAGTAGCCAGAATATCTACATTTCGCATCACTGAAGAAGTTAACCCGTAAGGAAACAATAAGAGGCAAGCGCAAACAAAGTGATCGGTTTTTATACAAGCGACATCGGATATTGGTTGTTGACTGGGATGTCTCAAAATTAGTTGTTGCGTTACATGTTTTGGTGCAGAAGTTTTGTCTGTCCGGGAAGAAGGGTTTTGACTTTTGTAAATAGAAGTCTCTTTGTTCAGTGTTCTCCGCTATGTGGAAGTTTCAATCGACGGTCCGAGAACCTATGGATTTGCAGAATTCTTAGTAAATTGTCACCAAGTGACAAAATGCTCCTGTATCAAGAATTATCCAAGTGCATCACAGAGAAACCGGACTCCTCAGTGAGTACACAACAAGTTGAGGTAGCCCATTTGACATATGCGCAGCTTAAGTGCAGTGAGTCTACGAGAAAGGGCAGAATATGCATCGTATCTTAGTTTTTATAGGCAACTGTCTCCCGTTCATAGGATTTGGTTTCCTGGATAATGCAATTATGATAGTGGCTGTAAGTGAGGTTTGAAGGCTGTCGCTTTTAATCATCATTTTCGCATAGGGAGAGTATATTGACGTGCAATTCGCAACATTCTTGGGCATTTCGACAATGGCTGGTACCTATATTTCTGATAATTTTCATGTTTCTAGCTGCCGGTCTAGGAAATCTTGTTTCCGATCTTTTTGGCATAGGGTGAGTTTGTAATCACATCTGATTTGGATGCGTCACTGAACTCAGCTTTCAGTGTGCATTCAGTATCTGGGTTCATTTAACTCGTAAATTAGTTTTGTAATTAGTGAAAAATTTGACTTTCCTCCCTCTAAACCAGTAAAAATATCCCTTTGTTTTAAGCACTAAAAGTTTTGCTACGATTCAATGAAACAGATCGATTGCAACCAATCTGATTTGTTTTAAAATGTTAGAATGAGTTTATTGTGCTAGTTTTTTTTGTTTGGCTAGAAACACACCGCGTTGTATTTTCTCAACTCAAGCTACGGACGGCTGTAATCCGCCTTCATGTTTCGTATCTGAACATTGTCAGTCATTTATGCTGGAGATAGTTCAGGTAATTCGAGGACACAAGTATCTTGCTGAATTTAAATAAAGAACTAGTATCTGTTATCTTGAGCATTTCTCCTTTTAAAACCACCGAATTTATTTTCACGAATGGGTCTTGTAAGTCTCAAGTTATTGCTGAAAAATCAACATGCCTAGAAAAATGATGAGTTCGACTTCAAAGTTGATCGTTAACTTAAGTATTTTTATGGTTTTCAGACACTTTTGATGCATTTATTTCCCCTTAGCAATGTGTCACCAACCTAGTGTTATCATACTGTTATGTGTTGTACAATTTCTTAGGATACACGTCATTATATCAATTTGCAAGAAATATAAAATCTCGGTGTTAAGACTGCTAGCCCTTAACTAACGCGTCTAACTACTAATGCATCTTAACGCTTTTCTGGGATTGTGAATAAAGGACAGGGGCCTGTAAACCTAAAAAAGTCTTGACTTATTCACACGAATCAGTCATGTCAATTGAGTTTCACCGATCAGATGAACTAATTAAACCTAAATGTGGTGGTTAATTCCAACCCTGTAAACAAATATGGTTTGTGATAGGTGGTTTTAAGAGCCTATTTATAACTCACATTTTAACTCGTCTGTTGAATATCAAAAATAACTTTTCGATTTATTATATTGTAGATAAATACGTATTTTCATTAAATTATTGGCAGCTAAAATTCAGTGGATGTTACTACTGGTGATATCTGAACTGTTTTTATAATTTATAAGGGCTTTTACCGTAATTTACTTATGTAGTATATTTCTAAAGTATGGGTGTATTTTAGTCCTCTCCAAAATCATCACAGCCAGGCTGTTTCTTTTTAGATGTAGCAACAAAATGCCAGTCATTTATAAACTTATTATATTATTTGTGAGTCTAGTTTAGACCCATTTAATCCAATAACATTTGAGTAAAAAAGGAAAATGTTTCCACTATTATATTAGGCTCGTCGGCTACGTTGAAAAGTTCATGGAAAAAATTGGCATTTCTGTTCCCCCATTGTCTGCATCCCAACTAGCCAGCAGTTCAGTTCGTTGGTCTATAGCAATAGTAAGTTAGTTCTAATTACTGCATTCAGGTATATCATGTTTTTCAAGCGTCGTTCTCAAAGTTGCTTATAAACATGCCAGTTAAAATCAATACATTTGTTGAGTGCAAACTTATACCACAGTGTTTACAACACTGAACCTTCAATTATTAAGTTTCAGGCTCATGCCTTACAATACCTGTTTTGTTTTGAGCTACTTGGTATTATTATTAACCCTTTCAAACCAGTTTCGCCCAAATCCTGCATCTTTATTTGGTCACTAGGTTGCATTTAGTGTTAGTTGTTTGAATAAAATATCAGGAAATCCGGAAATAACTTCAACAGACCCCCACACAGACTCAGAGTTATTATCATATCCTAAGTCCAACGTAAAACTCCGCCTGTAGCTCCTCTAGAGTTACTGCCGGTCCCGAGCCCGGGTAAAGGAGGAGGGTTGGTAATGGCGTTAGCGAACCCATCCAGTAGAAAACTAACTCGCTAAAAAACGCTAATCAGAAAAAAATAATTCAAACCACTTAAACTCTGCCCTGGGAGTTAGAACGTCGTCATTTAGAACTAGGACGCCTCATGGTGAAAGCCGACTTCCTTCGGAAGCCACGAAGCCGATGTCCTCTCTAACAACCAGAGCAACAAATTTTAAAGGTACATGGAACGTCCGAACAATGTGGGAGACCGGGAAGACCAGTGAAATAGCAACGGAAATGAGGAAGTACAACTTGGCAGTACTGGGAATCAGCAAAACCCATTGGACCCAAGCTGGACAGCAAAGGCTAAATACGGGAGAGATGCTGCTTTACTCCGGTCCCGAAGAGGACAGTGCTCCACACACTCAGGGAGTTTCTCTAATGCTGTCCAAATTAGCACGAAATGCACTTGTAGGATGGAAATCTCACGGATCCAGAATCATCAAAGCAGCATTCAAATCAAAGACGGAGGAAATTACAATGGATGTTATCCAGTGTTATGCACCCACCAATGATAGCAACGACGACATTAAAGATCAGTTCCACGATAGGTTGCAATAAATCATAGCGAAGTGGCCAAGAAAGGACCTTGCCATTCTGATGGAAGATCTAAACGCTAAAGTCGCAATAGACAACGTCGGATATGAAAATATCATGGAACGACATGGACTGGGACAGAGAAACGAAAATGGAAAAAGATTTGCAAATCTGTGTGCATTCAACAAATTGGTCATAAGCGGCACAATATTTCTCACCGGACCACACCACAGAGAACCAGATAGATCATATTTGCATCAACAAAAAATTCCGAAGGACAATGGAAGGTGTGAGAACCAGGAGAGGAGCTGACATAGCTTCAGATCACCACCTAGTTATAGCCAATTTAAAACTGAAGCTAAAAAAGAACTGGACAACTGGACACATAGCAATACAAATGTTCAGTACAGCCTTCCTTCGAGATACTGACAGACTCAATGAATTCAAGATAGCTCTCAACAACAGGTTCCAAGCCTTACAGGATCTACTGAAGGAAGAAGAAACTACTACGGAGGACAACTGGAAAGGTATCAAAGAAGCATTAACTTCAACGTGTCAAGAGGTTTTGGGCCTCAACAAGCATCATCATAAGGAGTGGATCTCTATAGAAACACTGGACAAGATCAAAGAAAGGAAGAACAAGAAGACAGAAATTAACAACAGCCGAACACGAGCAGAGAAAGTCGAGGCACAAACTGAGTACATAGAAGCAAACAAGCAAGTGAAGAAGAGCATTAAAGCCGAAAAGCAGAAATATGTGGAAGAACTAGCAATGACGGCGGAAAAAGCTGCAAGAGAAGGAAATATGAAACAGCTGTATGATACAGCGAAGAAACTAGCAGGGAAATCCAGTAAGCCAGAGAGACCGGTCAAAGACAAAGAAGGCAGGCCAATCACTGAAATTCAACAACAGCGGAACAGGTGAGTAGAGTACTCCGAGAAACTCCTGAATATGCCGGCTCCAATGAATCCACCGGACATCGAAGCAGCACACACAGATCTCCCTACAGACGTCAACCCACCAACGAAGGAAGAAATCAGAATGGCCGTCAGACAAATCAAGAACGGGAAAGCAGCGGGACCCGACAACATACCGGCTGAAGTCAGACATTGAAGTAACTACAAACATGCCTCACCTTCTATTCAAAAAGATTTGGGAGGAGGATTAAGTGACGATGGACTGGAAAGAAGGGCACCTTGTCAAGATTCCAAAGAAAGGAGATCTGAGCAAATGTGAAAACTACAGAGGCATTACACTACTGTCAATACCAGGGAAGGTCTTTAACAGAGTGTTGCTGAACCGGATGAAAGATGCAGTAGACGCCCAACTTCGAGATCAACAAGCTGGATTCCGTAAGGATCGATCGTGCACAGACCAAATTGCAACACTACGGATCATCGTCGAACAATCAGTTGAGTGAAACTCGTCACTATACATCAATTTCATTGATTATGAAAAGGCATTTGACAGTGTAGATAGGAAGACGTTATGGAAACTTGTTCGACACTACGGAGTTCCTGAGAAGATTGTCAATATTATCCGGAACTCATACGACGGACTACAATGCATGGAGGACAGCTGCGAGATGCATTCCAAGTGAGGACTGGAGTCAGACAAGGGTGTTTACTCTCTCCCCTCCTCTTTCTTCTGGTGATCGACTGGATTATGAGGACCTCGACATCTGAAGGAAAACATGGCATACAATGGACAGCTCAGAATCAATTAGACGATTTGGACTTCGCAGATGACCTAGCCCTCCTATCACATACACATGAACAAATGCAGATAAAGACAACCAGTGTAGCAGCAGTCTCTGCATCAGTAGGCCTCATCATACACAAAGGGAAAACCTAGGTCCTCAAATTCAAAGCGGAGAACTCTTGATGGCGAAGCTCTGGAAGATGTAGAATCCTCCACATATCTGGGAAGCATCATCGATGAACAAGGAGGTTCAGATGCAGAAGTAAAGGCAAGGATTGGCAAAGCAAGGGTCGCGTTCCTACAATTGAAGAACATATGGAACTCAAAACAACTTTCAACCAATATCAAAGTCACAATCTTCAATACCAACGTCAAGGCAGTTCTACTGTATGGAGCTGAAACTTGGAGAACTACAACAACCACCATCAAGAAGGTACAAGTATTTATAAATAGCTGTCTACGCAGGATACTCAATGTCCGTTGTTGGACGGATACCATCAGCAACAGCCTTCTGTGGGAGAGAACAAACCAGCTTCCAGCTGAAGAGGAAATTAGGAAAAGACGATGGAAATGGATAGGACACGCATTGAGGAAATTATCAAACTGCATCACGAGTCAAGTCGTAACTTGGAATCCTGAAGGGAAGCTGAAAAGAGGAAGGCCAAAGAACAGATATGAAAAGGATGAATAACAACTAGAAAGAGCTGGAAATGATTGCCCAGGACAGGGTTGGATGGCGAGTGCTGGTTGGCGGCCTATGCTCCTTCACGAGGAGTAACAGGCGTAAGTAAGTAACTCCAACGTAACTGCCACATTCGTTGATTCATGTTTTGTGATGACTTCCTACTCCACCTTTTATTCATTTGGAAATCGCCGGTCACAAAAGCGCGGTACTCTATCCAACCGTAAAGAATACTTATTTATTATGCAACTCTGACAACTTTAATTCACACATTATGAACACCTAATCCATCAATCTTTTTCATTCGTTTTCCGTAAAATTTGCACTGTACAGTCGTAATTATTAGAAGCTTTGATTGATTTTGCGTCCGTGAGGATCGTTTTCACCATGAAATTTACCCTGACTGTTCTTAAGTCACGCGCACCATCTGAGCTTACTGTCCTGAGCTTTAACGCAAATCCTAAAACAGGTGTATTTAGGACATTAAATTGTCTACCTGTCTTTACACGTTATCTTAAATTTCTACCAAATGTAGTAAATTGGTTGCTTTAACAATGTTGACTATAGTTAAATGGTATAGGCTAATCATCCAAGACCACTAAGCAAAGCCAAGAATTTTCTTCGTATAGTACTCATAGGCTTTCTCTGGAATGTAGCTTAAACCAAGGAATTTTGTAGGGATTTATATGTTCCTAGGCTATCAGCTAAAAGACGAATCCTTTTTGCCAAAAACTGGATTGAATTAGATTATCATGGTCCCTTCGTCATAGCAATGAATTGGTTGGTCGGGTATTCTTACATTATGTATTTCACCTCAGTGAGAAAAATGGTCGAATTGGTAAGCACTCTTAAGTCCAATAGAAAAACCATGAAAGTTATGAACAGGAGATTTCGTTTTTCGATTGTTTCATGGGAAGCTTGTTGAAAAAGGGATTTTATGAACAAAATATGAAAGTTCGTGTCAATTACATATCTTGGCTTCAAGGGTTCGGATTGATTACAGTGAGTTAGATGCATCCATTTCCCGTCATCTAGATCTTGGAATGTAACATTATTCTTCAGATTCTTTCTTTTTCGAAATATGTCATGAACACCAATACTACTTTTACTCCGCTATACATCTTGTTAATTTCCACAAGCTGTGCATGTGTGTCATGGAGATTTAGTTCAGTGTACACTACTTCCTGCTCTTATGTTGTTTATGACCATATATGGTAATCAGGTTTTAGATCCCACAAGCGGTAAAACTTGGTTAAACCAGTGATTTCTGATCGTATTACAGGTCCAAGTTTCTAATGAAGTGTAGTGTCTTTTTCTTTTAGTGGATAATTCCTCTTGTTTTGACTGTTAGCATGTGTCAGTACTGCAACCGATGTGCTAAATTTCCAGCATTATAAGTAATCTTGCGGTAGTAAAATACTCCAAATTGTTTTAAGCTTGTGTTATTTGTAATTGGAATTAAGACTGATTATTAACACTCATAAAGCATATTCCTTTATTTTTAGGGACGGATCGTCGGCATTACTACTGGTTGTCTTCTAGGTTTATTGCCTCTTGTTTTGTTCAGTTGGTGAAAGCTAAAAAGATTAACCAAGGGTTCAGTCCAACTTTCCGGGTTCTTTACCTCTACAATAGCAGTGTTTTTAATTAACCAGATGTATCTTGATTTCTTCCTTAGCATAAATCTACAGAACTTTATAAGTCGTGACAGTGAATTTGTAACTCTAGTGCAAACGCTTTGGAAAAGTATATTTTCATACTAACCAGCCATTTAAAACAGCATCACAGCTCTGCAGAACGATTTTTCGTTTCAAAATTAACGTAATACCGAACATCTGATTTCGTATAATTTTTTATTCCGTTATCTGGATCGATTTTTTACTGATCTAATCATATTACAAGTATGCAGATAATATTTCCAAACTGCTGAACTGTTTAAAATAAGTCTCATATCATAAATGCCTTTGAAGACACTTGAGCGCCAATCTCAACTATACCGTGTGGTAAATATGATTCTCTAAATATATTAGGATTACATAATTAATATCCTAATAATCCTTCATTCTTAGTTTATAATTTACTACTTTATTTTTAATTTCTATGTAAAATATCTAGCTTTCATCAAAATAAATGTATTTTTACTAAACTCCCAGCGTTAAGAAAATGCTTTGTCGACTTGTTTATGTACAGTGACCAAGGTACCTGTTCCTTAACAACTCCCTGAGAGTATGAGATTTAAATTTCGTGGATTGTGGGTAAACATAATTTCCTAAACTCCTTGATGTATAAATGCTATAAACCTTTGCATAGTGAATGGTTAGTAAAAGTAACCCATGCTTGATAAAGTTTTGGCAAAATGTCCCATACTTATTTAGAATTATTATTTTTACTAATCCAACGTATGATGTCTTATACTTTGATTCTTCGTAGTTTGAAATACTCACACATTACGTATATTATTTCTTATCTAAACAAACTTATTACAATACTAGCACCACGTTATATGCACCAGAAAACAGTGAAAACTCACGAGAATACGAAGGAAACAAAAATAAAAAAATCAACTACATAAATTGCAAATAAAAGGCTTTGGTCTTTTTTTCCTAAAGCTGTTCAAATTGGAAGGGAAAACGATCTGAAGCCGTTAATTTTTATTCTAAATCTTGTATTGGGTCTCAGTTCATTTAATGCTCTTTAGCATTGTTTGGAATGTTAGAATTATCCAATAGATGAAAACAAACATAAATCTCGTCCGCTCATCACTATAGATTTAAAATGTACACTCAACTCTAAAACTAATCGGGAAGATGGGAATGCTGAGTACAGAAACAAATCTTCAAGCTCAAATTTCCAAGATCAAATTTTGATGAAATAAATATACCCGCTTAGAAATACCAAGACATGATTCCATCAATGTTCTTTCCCAACGACCTCCTTACCATGGGTTTACATTTATTCAAAGGGATAAGTGATACGTTACTAGATGTGGTATGTTCACACAGATTTGTAGTTTTAGGAAAGGTTTCAGCAAGTTTATAATATTGACTGCGTAAACATAAGGAGTGAAAACCTTCAACCGGGAGGGTGTAATTTCCTACATATTGAATATGATTTTGAGCGTGTTTGCTTATGAAAACAAACAAAGTAAGAAAAAGCTAAACAGTTATTCTCAACTCATAAAATTCGCGCATTTTGATGAGTATTATTTCAAACGTATGGAAGCGGTTTTTGAAGCACGTTTTAAATGTACAAAAAATTGATAGTAATAATAGTTATCTAGAAGTGGTACGATCGCACGTTTAATTGTAACCCGTCCTGGACTAGGATCAGAAACTCTTAGTTTCTGAGATCTCAAACATGAACGCAAGTGGCTCTAAATACCAAAAGACGAATTCAAAGACTTCTAGTTCGCCTTAGTTTATCCAATTTAATTCTGTCCCATCTATCACCACTTACAAGGTTAGTGAAGAATCCTGTTTAAAAGTGTGCTTTACCTACCATCAGATCATTGTGTTCACTCGTAATTAGTAACCAGTATTTACCTTTATCTTACCATGTAGTCATATGTGCATGAATTCATATAATACGTAGAACCACTAAAATCAAGCATGTTTGCTACTAGCCGTGAGATGTTTACTGGGATACACACTGGATTTTCAATCGTGATGAGTTGATATTCATCGTCATAACTTTTCAGCGTTAGGAAGCGCTTTAAAATTGTTTCCGACTACGAATCCTAATTCTGGTCCCGTGGATTTTCGATATCTGATGATAAAATTTTGTTGCACTCAGTTTGCTTTGTCACAATTATACACGTTATAGTGGTTTTCACTCGAACGCTAGATAGGCTAACGATCTTTGTATTCTGCTTATATATATGAGAACTATTACCAAACTCAAGTTTACATTTGTTTGGAAGTAGTTAAGTCCCCAAATTCCTTTGTACGTCCGAATCAGCTTTCCCTCTCGAAATGCTCTCACATGGCCACGTGCATACAACCACTGCCTGCTTGCGGCATTACTGTTGTTTACGAAATTGAGAGGATAAAAAGCGAATGTCCGGCGCTTTAACCGGCTTGGTGGACATAGAAAGTACACCTAGGGGAGTTGGGAAACCCTGATTCCAAACCAATGGTTTACTTGGGCTCCAGTATCCTGACGGAACAAATGGTGTATGGACCTATTGTTGTTCACCGGCTACCATTGGACTACATCCCCTGACGTTGCTCCACTGTCTTGTGGATCAGACCTTTAGGTCGAAGGCTCCCCCTAAGGAAACCACCTGCTTCAGTTTAGGCACCTGGGCAGCATCCCAGCCCTCACACAAATTGAATGATTTGTGTGGCACATCTATTTGGTGCCTCTTTGTACTAGTATTTATGTGTTTAAATAAATAAAAGTAGTTAAGCCACTATATAGGAGTCATCAAATGCTTCGTCCTATGTAAGCCAGTAAGACGGCAAAACAGAAAAAGGACTTGTCTTTTGTTATGTGCTTCCGGGAAATCTTTAGTGACAGGAATAATTTAAATACTGTATTGATGAGCTTAAAACGATGTTAACTAAGTTAAGGCAAACAAAGAACAAAACCTCTGTGTAAGTCGGTATGTAGGTCTCTTGCTTGATATTATTATGCCAAACAGGGTCGGATCTATTTTGTAGTTATGTGGTAAAAATAGTTCAAGAATACTGAAGTCAGGTTTCTTAAATGTTACATCGTAATTTGAAATCTTTAAATTTTTTAATATGAAGTGGTAAGTTAGCGAAGAAGGACATCTTAAGAATTGCATGAAGGACTGTCTGAAATTACAAGCAAACAATAGAATACTTAATCATGAAATAACACACTTTAATCGTAATAGCGCCCAGCTGTAAAAATTTTGAAGGCAACTAAACTGTCGACTGTATAAATAGCGAGAGCCATGAAGGTGAAAATCTGAAAAAGAACAAGATCTCGTATTAATAAACCAGTGACTTAAAAAAGTTGAATGTTAACAGGCTAACATATGAGTCACGAATTCAGGACTACCAGACTTCTCGAAGACGGTAGATTGTATAGTACTCAACTTAAAAAGGAACTAATGGGTAGATGTTTTATTGCTTAAAAGATTGCTTCATGTGGAGACTGCAACCCACTTCATTCCCTAACATAATTGCGGACGAGTCCAACATGTTACTGTGAGTATCAAAATGTCAAGCTATCGGATCTATTAACCTTGAACTCTTTATTCAATGACTTACCAAGTAAATGCAATCAGTCACTGGTATCCGTAGACCTTAAAATTTGAGGGGTGAATGGTCCGATTAATATCAATGCTCTCTAAAACAACTAGAATAAGATAACTGACTGAACGACTAGAATTTTTTTAAGCATAGACAAATAAAGAATGTTACTGTCGGAAATATACAAGTGAGACAGTTACCTGTCTCATACGTCCTTAGCGGTTTCATTATTGCACCTTTTAATGTAGAAAACAATAGGGTCAACCAACTTATTATTTTTACAGAACACGGAGGCAGCTAGATCTTTAAATTCGTCTACTACATAGAGAAGACATTCTAAAACAAAAAGAAGCGAACCGATTCCATCAATCTCATTACTAACATATCTAATACGTATTAAACAGACTCTAAAAACGGCTATGTTTTGGTCTTACCGTTTCTGCTATTATAATACCACTTAAATGAGAATATGCTGCAGACAGTACTCCATTTGAAAACACAAGTATGCATACGATAACATAGGCAGCAAGTTCCTGATATAATTATTATAAGTTAGTAGCACTCACGATTAGACACCAAGGAGCCGCAATAAAACGATGCAGAAGAAAGAGATGGAAGACAAGGAAGAATGAGGTGACAATGAATGATAACGCAGTTGTTACGGTCAGCCATGAACCACCAACTGATAGGAAATTCTTATCCAAGAAACTGATGATAAACGCTATGAAGATACACAATAGTTCGCATAACTTAATCATTGCAGGAAATGTCCTGAGGTAACCTTCATAACACTTCCAATGGAAGATGCTTGCGGGGATAACATCATCGTCAGTAGATTGATTTCCATTATCACTTACTGCTTTGATCCCATTAACACTAATTTGAGCCATATAAATAGTTTATACGAGTATTCAATCCTGGAAATCACGTTTTTATCAAGATATACATACAATTACTTCCCAACCTTAGATGTTTTCTCTCAAGCGCTTTAATTTACCAGATGAACTCTGACCTTCACTTTATGATTTTAAACGAACTGGATCAAATGTTTGTGAATAATGCAAAATACGTATTTATATGTAGTTTTTAGGCTTACATCCGGTAACGTCTTGAGTTTTTTGAATTTGGGACAAGTAGTTAAGAACTAGCAACAATGTAAAAACTCCGAAATTCATTTCACAGATTTAGATTTGTGTAGTAAGAACAAAAGGCTTATAGCTCATTTTTCTTCTACTCCATTATGCTTTTGTGAACGTCTAGCTTCCTCTTGAGTGGGTAATTCAAGGTGCTTACACCAATGCTTCAGGAGACAGATTCCAACAATTGATGACTCGGTTTGAAAACCGATATGC